CCAAGAGGACACTAGTCTCCACTGACCCATCCTTGAGGATGCGTGGATGACCGAGAGGGCGGTCCCTGTGGTCTCAGTTGGCTTTGCTGTTGTTCTTTTAATTTTCTGTTTTTCAGACAGGATCTCGGGTATCCCAAGCAAGCCTCGAACTCTCTGCATTGAAGAAGAAAATTCTGAGCTTCCGATCTTCTTCAACTCAACCTCACAAGTGCTAGGATTCTGGGTTTATGCAGTACTGGAGTCAACTCCTAGGTCTTACGTATACCAGGCTATAGTGGCATTTCATTTGTATTTGAATAAATAAAGCTTGCCTGAAGATCGGAAAAGTAAAACAGTCATGCTGGCCAGCCTTACAGATCAGGAGCAATGGCCCACACCTTTAATCCCAGAAGCCACACTAGCTTGCCAGAGAAACCAGATGGTAGTGGTGCATGCCCTTAACCCCAGAACTAGAGATGGGAGGAGACAACTCTCAGTCTCATTCTCATTCTGAGGCTTCCTGGAGGCAGGATCACCATTTTCAGACTGAGGTCGAGGTAAGAGCCAGTGACTGACTGCTTTGCTTTTCTGGTCTTCAGGTTGAGCCCCAATATCGTCTCTGAATTTTTATTAATTGTACTTCACCAGGCGAATGCTCTGCCAGCTGAGGTATCCCTAGCTTTTCTTGCTTTGTTCTGTAGGCTTTTGCTTGCTTAGTTAAATGCCATGATGGTGAGTATAACTGCATACAGCTCACAGTGTATTAAATTTGGAGTCTTCCCTAAATGCCCATTGCCAAAGGCTGAGTCCCTAGCTTGGCACTGCGGGGAACTGGTGGACCTTTAGAGTAAGACTAGGGGGAGTGGTTAGGTTAGTGGGGCTATGTTCTCAAAGAGGACTGTGAGACTCCACCCTCTCTGCTCTCTTTAGCCTGGCTGTCCCACCACACGCTCCCACCAAGAGATGGAATGTCAGGATAGACTGACTGACCATGGGCTGAGCCAAAATCAACCGGTTTACAGACTTACTGTCTCCGGTGTTTTGTTACAGTGATGGAAAGCTGACTGACGCACCACCCTTGGGGTGTGGAGAAGAGGACCTTCAAGATCAAAAGCAAGCACTCCCTATGTTGTGCCCCTTCCTCCTGTCCCCAGCCCTCTCCCCCCTTATTTCCCCTGTCTTTTCTCTGTTTGGAGAGAGTCTTCTGTTCTGTTCTGGGTTCCTACTACTTCTGAGAAGTCGTCTGAATTGTGGGGTGTCAGGGCATTGTATTGGCTGGCACCTGGATGAGGGGGCAAATTCAGTCCAGATTGGTGTTTGGGATGGGCAAGCCCTTGCTAGCCGTGGGTTGGGGAGTTGGGGCTTAGGATGGTACAGCTGTAGAAGCCAGGCTTCATCTTAAGGATGCTCAGAGGAGAGGGAGATGGGCAGTTGGTGTGTGTGTGTCTCCATAAAGTATCCTTGTTCCCTCTCTACTCGGTGCTTTGATGAGTGGGGAGGAGAGCGAGCCTGACCTTCAGTTTCCGGGGTAACTCATTGTCTGTGCTTCCTACAAGCTTCTCCCCACACATGTCCACACTCTGGTCAGGTCACTGGAGTCTGCAGTCCCCTTCTGCTAGTGTTAAGAATAGCCACACCACACAGGGAATTTCCAGACCAATTCAGAGACTGGCATCTCCCAGGAAGTCCTGCCCTGGTTGTGTGTATGTGATAGGGAAGAGAGCTAGGAAGTGGATAGAGAGAAATTGATGATGCAAGATCTGGAAGAGGCATGTTCTCACCATTGAGGAGGCTAGAATTCTGCAGGCTTCTCGCCCACCTCAAAGACGGCTTCCTCTGAGGTATTGGGATCTTGACCTTCAGTCTTTGGGGTGGAGGAGAAGGATGAATGGCAGGCAGTTGCATGGTTAAGGACTGGCTAGATGAACTGTTGTGGTTTTTTTTTCTCTCTCCTGCCAATCAAATTGACTTATTGTTCAGGTTATCAGCGGTGATTACAGAGACCCTCAGACTTAATCACCAGCAGCTTTAATCAAGAGAGATGGTCTTAAGGACGCTCTGAGGATTGATTACAGCTTAATGGATTTATTAGGAGTTAAGTGAGCCAGCAAGTAATTGGCTAAGCGAGGCAGCTTGTTATAGAAAAGGAGCAAAAGCTAAATGCTAGGGAGAAAATGGGTCAGGGGGGTGCTGGGGAGACTCCAAGGAGAGTGAGTAAGAGGGCTGGGCCTCGCAGTGAAAGGATCAAGTGGATTTGTGTGATCCCTAGGAAGAAGCTAAGGGGGAGTCGTTTCCCAGCAAGACCTAGGAGCTAGACAGGGCAACCAGCTGCTTCAGGGTCCTCCTACCATGCCTTCACTTTGCCACGACGGACTTTAGGTTGTGTCTCCTCAAACTGTAAGCCAAATATGACCTGGAGTTGCTCGTCAGGAATTTGATCCTAGCAATGAGAAGTGAGCAATCTGCCCCTCAAACTCAGCAGCTCCGTTCTGTCGGCTAACTCTGCCCAATTATCATTTGGGAGCTGTCTCTCCCATTCTCTGTCCTTACAGGTCAGGGGAGTCCTCCTCATCCCCGCTCAGTCCTGGTGGGCATGTGGCCTAAGCCTCATCCTCTCCAGCCATACTCCTCACTGTTGGCTGAGTGCTCCTCCCAGTTGACATAGTTATAATGTCCTCTTTAGAGCTTGGACCCTCTTTCTTCTGCTAAGAGGTGGACTGTCCTGTATTTAAGTCTGGGCAGGTGACCGAGTCCCTTACAGAGTGCTGCTGTGGAGGGATGTGACTTCCGGAGGAGACGGTGCCATACTTCTTTTGGCTCTGCCGTCTGTATTCTCAGGAGAACTCCCCTCACAAGTTCCAGTTTAGAAACTGGCTACCACATTTAACTGTAAAAAGTCCAGGTCATAGGGACACTGAGTGGAGGTGACCTGAAGGGCCACCCCAGAGGAGCCAGCTTTCAAGCTCTCTCACTGAGGTCACTGACCCGAGAATATTTTTAGAAGTGGATCTTGTGGTCCCAGCGGACACAGCCATCAGCCATGTGAGTCCAGCCACAGATCTGGACACAATGGCGGTGTGTGTGTGTGTGTGTGTGTGTGTGTGTGTGTGTGTGTGTGAGATGGAACTGCCTCTTTGTGTTCTTACTTCAGAGTATGATCATTTAAAAATTAACCACGTCAAGCTGTTCCCTTTGAGGGTCACTTGTTGCATAGTAGGAACAAATAGAACTTATATGATGCCCTATGCCTGCTTACAATGTCAGTGATTCCCAGACCACGGAATAAGTCCCAATCCCTCTGCTCTTCAGCCCTAACCAGCTTCCTGTCCACCTTAGCAGCTCTAGGCCCCCAGCTCTGCTCATGTCTGGATGCTCCCTGCTTCCCTCGGCTCCCAGGTGTTGGCGCCCACAAGGCTGGCAGAGGAAACTAGGGAGATGGAAATCTCTTCCCTCTCTGCTCCTTTTCCTCAGGACTAATAGTGATAAAAGGATCTAAAAGCAGCCCAGGTGTTCTGTGAAGGAACATTCGTAGATGGGAGGTGAGTTTCCAGATCTTTAGATGAAATAGCATGTACACACGTGGGTTCTGGATTCACATTGGCATGGATGACTTTGCAGTTTCTCAACCTCTTGATGGATGGATCACTTGCTTTACCTATAAAACAGGGTGAGAGGAAATACTTCATAGAGGTAAGGCGAGCATTAAGTGTGGCTCAGAGTTAAGGATGGTGCCCACTGGAGGATGTTTTGACAAATGTTTAAAATAAAACACACACCTACCAGTAATTTCCTTTAGTCATGAAATCTTGGCACGAGTCACTTTCTGGGAGTGGCCTTAGTAATTGATAGTCCTCCTGCAGCTGGCTACATGGAAAGGTCTCGGTCACAGCGCCTTCGACCTCTTCAGCTCATCCCAGCCACTGTATTTGTCACTGGTTCTATGGTGCTGTCATTGTGATCACCACATCCTGCAGTTTTTATAGGACACTTAAAAATATGTATCTATTTAGGCATGTGGTCTTGTGCAGGTTGGTCTTGAACTTGGTAGGAAGAGCACCTGCTGCCTCCATCTCTCAAGGGCTGGGCTTGCAGGCGTGAAGCACCATGCCCGGTTAGAGGAGATTACTTCCGTCGATTCACGTATTCAGGGTGTAGATGAAGAGGCTTATTAAGAAGACCAAATTCTACTCTGGTGGGCTTGGGCTCCGCCGAAGCCTTTTGTTTGTTCCCACTGGTGTATTATCAACACCAGGAGGCGCTGTCGTAGCACTGGTTTTTCACCACAGGTAGTAATAACGTCCAGTAATAACGTCCCAGATGGCCCACAACACTGGTCAGGGCATCGTTCCTCTTACCGGCTTCCTCTTGAGGGAGCATTCCTTTCCTTTTTTGCGTCTCTATGCGTGAGTCTGTACGTGAGACGTGTGTGTGTGTGTGTGTGTGTGTGGGCGCGTGAAGGGAACAGCTCTTGCAGACATGCATGGGTTTAGAAAGCTGCAAGCTACATTTCTTGCTTCCAGTCCTATCATCATCTGTGACTTGAAACACGTTGCTTTTTTCTCCGTGACTTGAAACGCAGAGTGAATTGAAGACTTCCTAGATTTCAGGCTCCACGCGTCCCTCCTAGCCTCCATCTCTCTAGCATTAACACACATTCCACAAGAGAGACTCAACCGAGAGGCTTTTCCAACTGGATCAGTCTAGTGTGTGCCCAGCTCTTGGGGACCTTGAGTGAGGTTCTCAGTTCACCAGTGGTGGGAGGATGAGGCGCGTCCATTCCTCCAAGTACCTGGACCACCAGCACCCTTGCGCTCTCCTCCTACTTTCTTTGCTCGCCCCGGTCTCCATAGCTGGTGAATGAAGGTCTTAGCGGAGAGGTGTGGAGAGGGCGGGGAAGGGGCCCAGAAGGGAGGGGCATGGGAACGCTGTCACCGATTGTCACGCTGCCCCTCCCGCCCTCCGCCCGGGGTGGGGGCGTGGAGCGCAGGAGGGCGGGCTTCTCCGCCAGCCTTGCAGCAGCACCCGGAGCGCTCTGGCCTCCTGAGCAGGGCGCAGAGCGCGCAGTCCAGAGCCCGCAGCCGACCGTCGCTTGCCCTCGTGTCCTGGGCGGCTGTCGGGTTCCTGGAGAGCGCATCCAGCCATGGAGCCTTTGCACAAAGACTCCGAGACTGCGGCAGCGGCGGCGGCTGTGGCAGCGGCAGATCCCCGGGGGGCGACGTCCAGCGGGGTGGTCGTGCAGGTTCGCGAGAAGAAGGGCCCCCTGCGCGCCGCCATCCCCTGCATGCCCTTCCCGGTGGCTGTCATCTGTCTCTTCCTCAACACTTTCGTGCCGGGATTGGGTAAGAAGTGGAGGGTGGGAGGCGACTCTTTAACCCCTGCAGCTCCTACGACCTAGGCTGCCTGCTAGGGGAGTGGGCAGAGCAGGGGCTGAGCACTGGCTGAGACCCGTGGGTGTGCCCACCGGTCTCAGGCTGTGCTCCCACGATTGGTCTTCTGGCAGGTGGCCGAAGCCACTGGAGTGGGCATCCTAAAGGAGAGGTGCCACGTTTGGTCTCTGACTCGCAAGCGAGGTGGCCAGGGCAGAGAGAAAAGCTATAAACTTGGCCGAGAATCTTGGAGCCCCAGGGAGGGACCCGACGGCTCCAGGCTAGGCTACCTTTCTTAGCGAGAGGAATCTTCCCTATCAAGTGCATCTTTCTTTGATTCCCACTACTTCGGAAAGAGAGGAGGCAGAACAGGAGGAACTCGTGGATGTGGTGATAGTGGTGGTGGTGGTGGTGGGTTCGACCAAGCTCGAGGGAGTCTGAGAAGTCGATTGGTCTGGGGGAAGGGGGACACACAGATTTAGGAGACACATTGTACCCGATCATACTTTTACAGGGTGCGGAGCCCGTGTGTGTGTGGGGGGGGGGGGGGGGGGATGACAGCTCTTTAGCCAGAGTCTCTTTTCCTGGTGCCTGCATTTTTTACCAGAACTCCTGCTGTACGCCGTAGGAAGGGAAGGATGATTTTATTTCGTTTACACGCATGTGGATTTGGACTGCATGTGGCCAGAAGTGAGCCCGTTAGAAAGCGGAGAGCGCTCCCCAATAAGTCTCTGTCGGGCTCTGGCTGTTTGGACACACCCTAGTGGCACTGCTGTCCCAAAATAGTGCCTAAGGGTGAGCAGAGGTGGAGAACGAGAGCTTTTCCCGTCTCCTCGCTCCAGCCCCCAATCGCCATTGCCTGCCCTTCCCCCACCTCCAACTTCTTGCTTGCCACCAGCGGACCCTGCACGCTCAGGAGGCGTCCTCCTCAGCAGCGTGCTGGGCTGGCAAAGCACTCATCCTATGCATTCTCCAGAGAGCCTGCCTCTGCCGGCCAGCTAGTTGCCTTCACAGGGCTGCAAGTTCCCAAAAGCAGAGGTCAGCTAGAAGTGTCTTTCTGCTTCGCTCTGGCCTTTCTCACGGCCTTGCTCCTAGCTGGCTCAGCAGGGTCCTCTTCTGTGATGATTTTGAAGGCCACACCCACTCAACCAAACCTGTTGGTCCTGTCTCATCAGTTAAGTCTTTCTGTCCCTGAGGGATGCTGTAGCTAGGAGTCCTATGTGAGTAGAAAGTCAGAGCCTTCAGCTGGGCTTCCCCCTTGAAAGATGCCTTTAGCAGCCTGCCCCACATTTGATGTGATCAGGCCAACTCTAAATGATACTGCCGGAAGCCAAGTTGGTGTTAATTTCCATGCTTTAGAAAGGTCCCCCTACTGGAGTAAAGAGAGACCCCCAGGACACCAAAGTCACAAGGCAAGGTGCATCTTGATAGAATTTTTTTCTAAGTGGTGAAATGGACATATCGTAGGCTTTTGAGAAAACAAACGCTATGGAATCAGGGGAGCAGGGCTGCACTGGGTGCCGCTGGGGAGGGGACCAGGCTTGTGGGAACCCCGCATTGGGAGTTAGCAGGGGTCTACCTGCTCGAGACGCACCAGTGCCTGCCCTTCTGGGTGCGGAGCACTAGGTGTCTTTCCACCCCAAGTCCTGCTGCTCTGATAGCATCCACTCTAAAACCTTACCCCAGGAATCTAGCTTTCTCTCCTTCACAGTTCCTCGGTAAGGTCAGAATCGAGGAATTTACACACACACACACACACACACACACACACACACACAGAGCTTTCTAAGAAACTTGGATACAAAGAAATGAGCAAACGACACAAGAAATAACAGGTGGAATGTGGTCTATAGACTTGCATTTTCATCATGTTAACCCAGGCATTTTTTTTTTCATATTTGCCTCGGTTGCCACTCCATAGTTTTCTGGGCATGCAGGCCCAGGCCCTTGGGAGGTAGGGCTTCTCATCTGTAAGTTTGGGATGTCTGGTTCTCTAGGAGACTGGATTGATGAAATGTGAGAGGTTAAAACCAAAGGCTTTCTATAAATAAAAACCAAAGCCTTACTATATATAAAGACCAAACCAAACCAAAACACACTCTAGAAATGGTGGGCCCATGTGTCCTGCTCTTTCTCTCTCTACTTCTTTTTTCTTTTTCGGATAAGGTCTTGCCATATATTCCTGGCTGTCCTGGTATTTGTTAGGCAACACAATTGGTCATAAACTCAGAGCAATCCCCCTGCCTCAGATTTCCATGCACACTGCCTCGCTCTCCTTTGCCCCTGTTTGTCTCATCTCTGGGTGGGGTAGCTGGCACGGTGACAGCTCTGTTTCTGAGCATCCTTCATCTTTCTGCTTCCCTCCGCACCTGCCCCGTGTCCTAAACCACAGACCACAGACCTTGAAAGCATTCCCTACCCCTGGCCTTCCTGTTACCTCTACTACCCTGGTTGGGGAGTGGTTTGGATGATCTCAGTTCTTGGAAGTCCTCCTCTTGGCTCAGGTCTTCTTCTGCTAATCCTCCTGACTTGTTCAAAGCTCCAGAGACAACTGAACATTTAGACTGCTTCTTCTACTCTTTGATGAAGAGTGGCATCTTCTAATCCACCCACCCATTCATCGGGCCAAGATAGGCATCACCATATGTCAGGCACCGGCGTGTAAGGATGGATAAAGCAGCCAAGGCCAGTGCTTGTGCAGGAGAATTAATATTAACTTCAAATTTATTCAGAGAGCAGCAGAAACAGAGCTTCAGCCCCATGTCCTTCTTCCTAAGGGTGGGGCAGGGCGGTTGGAGGATGCTTTCAAGAGAAGCGGTTGTAGGGAGACTCATCCTGTGGCCCCCACAGTCTTTCCCTACAGCATCCACTCTCTAGAAACTGCTCAGGCCACTGACTTAAACTAAGATTCTCTTTCTTCTGGGAAATTTCCTTCTTTTCCCTTTCTTTCCTTTCTTGCAATGGAGGGGAGCTGGCATTGGCTGAATGAAAACTACCCACCAACCCACGTGGCTGGTTACTCAGGCCCATCAGTCTATGAGACCTACCTCGGAGGAGCCGTATCCTTTAAAGCCTCCAGGCTCCTCTCCATCCATGCATGCAGTGATGGTCCTTGGATAGTGAGGTCGAGCAGTAAGAGTGATGCTCCCTGCCCGGGGCATGCCTGGGAAGGAGAGATGGCTTATAATCACTTTCCACTGTCACCGTGAGAATGTCTATTCATTTATTTCTGTGGTGTTGGGGATCAAATCCAGGGCTCTGCACATGCTAGACAATTACTCTACCGGTGAGCTACACTTCCAGGTTGAAAAATCATTTTGTCAAATGGTGATGGAGAGGCATCTTCATCCCAATCCAGATAAAGTCCTGATAAAGGCAACTGCCAAGTCCTTCATGTTTCAAGAAGGAAGAGGGCTGGAGAGATGGCTCAGCAGTTAAGAGCATTGCCTGCTCTTCCAAAGGTCCTGAGTTCAATTCCCAGCAACCACATGGTGGCTCACAACCATCTGTAATGAGGTCCAGTGCCCTCTTCTGGTTTTCAGGCATACACACAGACAGAATATTGTATACATAATAAATAAATAAATATTAAAAAAAAAGAAGGAAGATACATGTGTGTGCTTGTGTGCTTGTGTGCATGTGTGTGTGTGTGTGTGTGTATAAAATGGAAGTTAGTTGTTGTGCCCTAAAATGGTCTGAAAATGTGTCTGTTGATGAAAGGAATCATTATGATGCCATATTTAAAAATTATTACCTGCGGAGATTTGGTGAGATATAACTGTTGGTGACTCAGAGACACAGAGCAGGTAATAGGAAGGCCTCGTCTGCTGACCGTTAACTTCTCCATCAGACCTAATGTTGGCCGTCAATTACTGCTGACTGCCACATAAACATTTATGCCTCCCCTAACTCACTGCTTGTCCTCTGACAGCACAGAGATCTTCCTTCCAGCAGGGATGCCTCAGGCAGGCTCAGCTTCTAGTTCTTTCCTTTAGCCCAAGGCTCAAATCAATAACCAATCAGCCCCTACCTTGCAATGTCTTTTGTGTTGGTGACTTTCTGTTACTAGTTTGACAGTTTTATATGTGTTCATCCAAAAAAGCTGCAAATCCCTTGAAAGTAGCAACTATTTAAAATTTTCTCCTAGAGCTCAGAAGCTATAAATGGACACATACTGACAACATTATACGCTTGGAATAGACATTAGAGAGCCCCTGGTCCAGCACCTTTATTTAATACATACATTAAATAGGCCTGGGGAATGTGAAAACCAGGGTCGTTTATCTCCTACACAGATCTCCTAAGGGAGTTACTTGAAAATGTTTCTTCAGCAGAGTAAGGGAGTGTCTGAAAGACCATGAACTCCAGGAAATAATGGGTCCTGCTAAGACAGGGGAAGAGGCCATCTTTCCCATGGGCACTGGGCTAGCGTTAAGCATGGCTGAAAAATCTGTTAGGATCACAATTGGTTTTAATGATAAGGAAGCTGGCTGCCTGACAGCTGGAGAAGAAAGAGAGCATCAGAAGAAGGCAGCCAAGGCAGAGAGAAGGCAAGGGAAGGCAGAAGCTGAGGCCAAAGAAGGATAAAAGACTCCAAATGGCCAGAGAAGAGACTGTTGTAAAGTCTTTTGGGCCAAAAGTCTTGTGCCCTGAGCCAAGAGCTCTGACGCTGGCTGGCGTGGGAGGTCCTTCTGTCTATGTGTTGCTTTTATTGGTTAATGAATAAAGAAACTGGCTTGGCCTATAGCAAGGTAGAAGGAAGGTGGATTCAGGGAGAAACCATGGAGCCGCCACCAGAGACAGACACTAAACTTTACCCAGTAAGCCACTGCAACGTGGCCAGACAAAGATTAATGGAGATGGGTTAAGATAATATGTAATAGTCAGCCAATAAGAAGCTAGTGCTAATGGGCCAAGCAGGGTTTTAATTTTTTTTATGGTTTTATTTAACTTTATTTTATGTGCATTGGTGT